GGGAGCGGGCCGGGGCCCGGCTTGTAACTCCTCGCTGCTGCGGCTCTGAGCACGGGCTGTGCCTGCGCCTCTGGCCCAGCCGGCCCCGAGGCTGCCCAGCCGCGGGTGTGGGCACAGCGCGGGCCCTGGGGACGGGCCGGGAGCGAGGATACCGGTGTGGCTGCTCCTGCAGCTTTCCTCTTATTTTTTTATTACAGGTAACCATGGGTGAATCAGATGGCTGTGACAAAGGATACAGACATGTCTGAAGAGATGTAGCAAGATGCTGTAGATTGTGCCATTCAGTCTCCGAAGGAATACAATGTTGAGCATAATATTGCAGCTCATATAAAGAGGATAAGTGTTCACTCATAATATTTTCCTACTGAATACTGTATGGACTTCAAAAGTCAGGCAAAAATATTGGTGGGTAAGTAGTTCTGGAGAACCAAGTTCTGTGGTCACTGCATAGTCTAGTCAGACTTTTTCTGCAGACCAGTCCTTATGTTCCTTTCTGTACCCCTTTATATGCACTTTTTTGGTTCTTCCCCTTCTCTTTCACAGTTCCTTCTATTTAAGTCCTTTCCTCCACTCTGCAAAGACAGCACTTGAGTAGTAATACCAAATTCCTAGGGGTCTGTTCTGTAGGAGTTTGACAGGAAATATAATCCTACCTGGCAGTGCACCACTGTAGGAAGAAATTTTGTGACTCATGAGACCAGTCAATTCATGCTCATCTGCTTGGGTCCTTTTACTGTTCTTCTCAAGGGTGCTTAGAGCCATGGACTGTTCCTCAGACTTTCATCTCATTGCTCAATTGTGTCATAATGCATGAAGCCTGGTGTCTTCAGCCTTCCTGAGGAAGTAGACCTTGGCCTTCAAGGGCAAGGATTTTGCTAGTATGTTTTCATTGTAGTTAGGGGAGGAAAAAAAACCTCTAAAAAACTTGTATTTATTTTCTTTCTATAGCCAGCTTCTTTGCTAATAAAAGTGTTATGTTCTACCTTCAAAGGTTTTATGGCTGTGTACCCTCTTTTTTCTAGTGTTGTTCATGCTGTTTCTTATTTCCCTGTGAATATGGATGACTAACTTCGTTAGAAACTTTCTTTTCTCAAATCTAAAACATTTCAACAGTGGTAACCACCCTCATAATTTGGTCAGTCATTCTAAGAATAACAGACTTAAGCAGGGAGAAAATAGGAGTTAAAAGAATGGTTTGGGTTGAAAGAGACCTTAAAGATCATCTAGTTCCAACCCCCTGCCATGGGCAGGGACACCATCCACTAGCCCAGGTTGCCCAAAGACCTGTCCAACCTGGCCTTGAACACTGCCAGGGAGGGGGCAGCCACAGCTTCTCTGAGCAATCTGTGCCAGTGTCTAACCACCCTCACACCCTCTTCCTTATATCTAACCTAAATATCCCTTCTTTCAGTTTAAAACCTTTACCCCTTGTTCTATCCCTACACCCCCTGATAAAGAGTCCCTCCCCAGCTTTTCTGTAGCCCCCTTTAAGTAGTGGAAGGCCACTAGAAGGTCTCCCCAGAGCCTTCTCTTCTCCAGGCTGAACAATCCCAACTCTCAGCCTGTCCTTGTAAGGGAGGTGCTTCAGCCCTGGATCATCTTCGTGGCCTCCTCTGGACCTGCTCAGGGGGGGTCACTGTCCTGATGTTGGGGTCCCAAGAGCTGGACACAGGACTCCAGGTGGGGTCTCACGAGAGCGGAATAGAGGGGGCGAATCCCCTCCCTCGCCCTGCTGCCCACACTGCTCTGGATGCAGCCCAGCACACGGCTGCCTTTCTGGGCTGCGAGCGCACGTTGCTGGCTCACAGGCAGTTTTCCATCCACCAATACCCCCAAGCCCTTCTCCGCAGGGCTGCTCTCCATCCACTCCTCGCCCAGCCTGTGTCTGTGCTTGGGATTGCCCCGACCCATGGGCAGGACCCTGCCCTTGGCCTTGTTGAACTCCGTGAGGTTGGCACGGACCCACCTCTCCAGCCTGTCCAGGTCCCTCTGGATGGCACATCCCCTCCCTCCAGCGTGTGACCGCCCCACACAGCTCGGTGTCGCTGGCAAACTGTTGAGGGCGCCTCGATCCCACTGTCTGTGTCACCAACAAAGATGTTGAATGGTGCCAGTCCCAACACCAACCACCAAAGATGCCACTCGTCACTGCTCTCTACTTGGACATCCAGCCACTGACCGCAACTCTGAGTGCGACCATCCAGCTAATTCCTGATCCACCGAGTGCTCCATCTGTCAAATCCACGTCTCTCCAATTTAGAGACAAGGATGTTGTGCAGGCCAGCGTCAAAAGCTTTGCACAAGTCTAGGTAGATGAGTTGGTTGCTCTTCCCTTACCCACCAGAACCCCAATGTAGAAGGCCACCAAATTTGTCAGGCACGATTTGCCCCGATTGAAGCCACTTTGGCTTCATAACTTGCACTGTTGTTTGCGACAGTTCAGTGGAAATACTTGGCCCTTTATATCCTTTTAGGCCTCTGTGTTCACAAGCTTAACCCCTAGTACTGTCAGCACATACCTGCTCAAGAACTGACAGTGTTTAGTTCTTTCTGTTCCAAACTTCCCTTGTTCTTCTAATTTGCTTTTTGATTATTTTCCCCCCTTGTTGTGCTGGATGTACTGCCCCAAAGCCCGAGCCGTTTCTTTTTCTGCCGATGCCTCGTGAAGAACCGTTTTGGAAAATAAAGGACGAGATCTCCCCCAGGCGCCAGGTCGTTCTTTCTGGCCGCTTTGTGCCGTCGGGGCCGGGGCGGGTGGCTGGGCCCGGGCGAGGCCGCCGGTGCCGCTGCCCTGTGCGGGGCCGGCT